ATTTACTTGTTGGAAAAACGCCATCTCTCATGCTTCCGGTAACCTCCGTAGTGGGACAAGTTTAGCGGATCAGGTGACAATATTTTTATTTATTTATATGCATTCCACTCACATTAATATTTTGATTTATTTAATTTCGTATGTAATTTTTATCTTATTTCTTATGTAATTTTTATGTAATTTTTATTTAATTTCTTATGTCATTTTTATTTAATTTCTTATGTCATTTTTATGTAATTTATATGCATTCCACTCACATTAATATTTTGATTTACTTACTTTCGTATGTAATTTTTATCTTATTTCTTATGTAATTTTTATGTAATTTTTATTTAATTTCTTATGTCATTTTTATTTAATTTCTTATGTCATTTTTATGTAATTTATATGCATTCCACCCGTATTAATATTTTGAATTTATTTATTTGTGTTACACCCGCATTTTTTAACACTATGTTATCCCACATTTTTATAGACACTACAAGCTCAAGCATTCTACAATTCAAAGAACGGGAACAAATCATTCACTAGATGGGAATGTTGGCAAATTGTCAAAGATTGTCCTAAATACAAAATTGTGGCAACTGGTCCAGAAATTGTCATGCACGGTATGGGTCTACATAGTTCTCCAGAACCAGACATGGCCGAACAAGAAGCCGACACATTTCAAGACACGGAAGGGATGCCTGAACAAGTGCCCGAGACCCAACCGACTCGTCAGTCCCTCAGGCCCGTAGGTAAAAAGGCGTCAAAGAAAAAAGGTAGTTCTTCCAAGAATGACTACACTAAATATATGGAGGAACTTACTCGCCAAGGTGAACTGAACATGGCACGAGAAAAGGTTAGAGATGAGGAAAAAGTTGCTGCTATGGTAGCAATATTAGCAGCTACTGAGGCCCGTGATGCGGCGGCTGAGAGACAAAGAGAAGTAGTTAATCGAGAGAGCGAGCTGGTTAGAGAAGCACTTCATCGAGAAAATGAATTGCTTCGAGAAGAAAGGATGGCTCAAGCAGATCGTGACACTATGAGCAAGTCTCTAGTAGGACTGTCTCCGAATTCTAAATATTTTTGGACTTCGGAAAAAAGAGATGCCATGCGAAGGAGGCGTGCAAGAGATGCGGAAACAAGTCAAGGGGGTTCTAGCAACTTTTGTGACAACCAAGATCCTCGCACCACATATCCTAACTCGAGAGACTTTGTATAATTTTTATGTTTTTTTTTATGTTTTTCTCTTTCTTTTTTCTTTTGAACTTTATTTAATTTCTTATGTAATTTCTTATGTTTTTTTCTTTTTTTAGGTTTGAACTTTATTTAATTTCTTATGTAATTTTTATGTTATTCCTTATTTATTTTAAAAACTTTATTTATTTTTATTTAATTTATTATGCAATTTTAATGTAATTCTTTATTTATTTTTAAAACTTTATTTCTTTTGTACTTTATTTAAACACATGAAATAAGATTACATAAACTCACCAAATAAATTTAAAAACAAAACACACTACATAGAATTACACAAACTCACCAAATAAATAGAATTACATAAACTCACCAAATAAACTTAAAAACAAAACACACTACATAGAATTACATAAACTCACCAAATACATAGAATTACATAAACTCACTAAATAAACTTAAAAACAAAACACACTACATAGAATTACATAAACTTAAAAAAAATACAATTTATTCTTCAACCACAAGCCTCATTCTAATTATCTTCGCCTTCATGCAATCCCCACTGGTGCTCAATCAAGTCATTCTGGCGGGTTACGTGCCAGTATGGCTCTTGCACATTAGTGTAACGTTGAACGATCAATTCATTGTAACGTCCATCGCGTTCCAACGGCTCGTGTTGCACTGGATCTTCGGTCCCATTATGAGCACAATAGATACGTGTTCTTGAGTTGTTCATCGGATCCGGCTCATATTCATCGACGCCATCATAATCATACTCATCTTCAACAATCATGTTGTGGAGAATAATACACGTCATCATGATGGATCGAAGAGCCTCGACATCAAACATTCTAGCTGCAGCCCTGATAATCGCCCAACGAGCTTGTAGGATACCAAAACAACGCTCGACATCCTTCCTACACCATTCTTGACATTTTGCAAAGTGTTTTTACTTTTCAGTCTGTGGATGTGGCACTGTTTTGACAAATGTTGACCACCTTGGGTAAATGCCATCTGCAAGGTAGTATGATCCCTCGTATTGGGTACCATTAATGGTATATGTGCATCTCGGCGAGTTTCCTTGCAGCAGTTCGTCGAACACTGGGGATTGGGCAAGGACATTTAAGTCATTCTGAGCTCCTGGAACACCAAAAAAAGCATGCCAAATCCATGTATCAAATGAAGCCACCGCTTCCAAAATGATGCTTTTGGCTCCTTTTCTGTTGCCATATGCTCCTTGCCACGCACTTGGACAGTTTTTCCAAGTCCAATGCATGCAGTCCATGCTTCCAATTATGCCAGGGAAGCCTCGCATCTCACCCTTCCTCATAAGCCTTCGCATGTCCCTTGGCGTGGGTGTCCGGAGGTACTCTTTGGTGTAGAGGGCTTCAATTGCAGAGCAAAAACGCATCAGGGACTCCAAAACAGTTGTTTTTCCCATCCTCGCGATCTCATCCACTTGATCTGCAGATGCTCCATATGCAAGCATTCGCAAGGATGCCGTAATTTTTTGCTCGGGAATAAGACCTAGAACATGAAAAGCATCCTCTTTTTGCACAAAGTATGAATCATGGTTGCAAATATCACTCATGATTTTGTTGAACAAATTTCGTTGCATTCTAAAAACGCCGTCTAAAAATATGATCAGGGAATATGCTATTGGGAATAAAATAATCTTCCAATAGATTTTTACCTCGTTTTTCCCTTTTTCTATCGAGGTTTGCAACACGTCTTGGTTTGGCTATCTGACCCACGGCTTCCATGACAAGGGGGGAATGTGAGGCCTTCTGCCTTCTATGGTGATCATCCTCATCCTCCTCCATGAAGAAAGCCTCATCTCCACCTCCACTTCCACCTTCCTCGAGATTGGCCAATTCTGCCTGTTGTGCCAACAACCTTTGTTGTTGCTCCTGCAACTGTTTATACACCCTTCTTGAAGAAGACATTGTAATAAGAACTTAAGATTTGAAAACGATAATAAGAACTTAAGATTTGAAAACGATGAACAAGGATTCTGAGCTAAAAAGAATGATTGAGCTTGGTGTGAGGATGGATGTAGGGATGTAAGGTTTATATGGATAAAAAAAGAAAGGATGAGGTTCTGGACAATGCCACGTGGCACTACGTGATTGGTTGAAAATCTTATCGAAATCTTGGCTAAATTATTGTAAACCGGAAGTGACACGTGGCATGTCGGGATTGGTCGAAAATATTATCGGAAATCTATCCACAAAATAGTACGTTCAGATAATGACACATGGCATGACGTGATTGGTTGAAAATCTTATCGAAATCTTGGCTAAATTATTGTAAAATGGAAGTGACACGTGACGTGTTGAGATTGGTTGAAAATCTTAGCGGAAATCTATTCACAAAATAGTACGTTCAGATAATGACATGTGGTGTGACGAGATTGGTTAAAAATCCTATCCGAAATTAAAACTATTTTATTTTTTTATTCTTTTAGACAAAATTTAAAAATATCTTAAATGGGCTGGGTGCCAGCGCATTTTGTAAGGATGGAGATCGTTTGTGCCAGCGCATTTTTTCACTAGGTGCCAGCGCATTTTTTTAGGGGTGGAGATGCCTTGGCCTATTACTGTTCATTGGAGTCTGTTACTGTTCATTTGAGTGGATAAATGCGCTGGGTGCTGGCGCAAAATCCTTAGGGGTGGAATTGCTCTGACAGCGTTCAAGCACTTGTGATTTTATTTATTTGTTTATTTCCGAAACACAAATTTTTTCTTTTAACAAACAATGAGTTTAACCTCATAATGAATTAGTAATAATGTGATCCAAATTCAATTTTGACGATAATTGAACTTAAAACATTTCACTTATAAATAAAAAAAAATAACATTAAACCGGAACACTAAGTGACTGTCCCCTCACACAAATTAAACACTGATATAAACTATTCAGTACGTACACATTGTACATAGTTCACATTCATGCTTTCGCATTTTCTTCCCTTGAAGTACCTAAAAATGCCACTAGCCTTGACTTTAATCTATTAATCATTTAGAACATTGGGTATAAAGAGGTTTTTGGCTTCAATTCTAAAACATGATTATGAATATCGTTTGTATTTAAAAAAAATGAAATTGAATAAATCAAAGAAAACTAAATGACCGAAACAAGAGCATTGCATAAGGATAAGACAGAAAATGTGAAAATCATTACTCACACTCAAAAAATATTTATTTAAGAGTAATGCTAGGAAAACTAAATTTAAAGACTAAGTTTTGACTAAATTTTAGAAACTAAAGGACATGCAATGATTGATTTATTACTTAAGCATTGATAGACGTGTTCATTTCTATTGGTGACACATCATTTAATTTGCAAACTTAGTCTCCTTAGCATTACTCTTTATTTAAAGAAACTGCAAAAATTTCATCCTACAATCCAAATTTCATACTAAAATGACATTTGTTCATTGTCAATATCAAGTTATTAATGTTCTTATCTAAACCGGTTTAATCGTGACTCGTGTCGTTCTTGTACAGACCTATTTAATAAACAAGCCATGTCGAAACATTTCATTTATCGGACAACTTAAGCCTAGCATGATCCATGGTAAAACTCTGTTCAGTTTCGGGCATATTATTAGAATAAATTTAATTTAAATGATTAAATAGTTGAAAATACGAGGTTAAACGTTGGGGTTTTGCCCTACCATTGGAGATGGTCTCGATGGGGCCTATTGTTACCAACAATGCAAATAACCGAAGCCCAAATTTCTAGTATTAACACAGGGAAAAAGCCCACTGTGGTACCTGAATTACTAAATTATGACCCAACATTCACAGCCCAAAATCATACCGAACCGGAACCGGATCTCAAACAAAAAACCGGAAAGAAAGGCGAGAGGCCTGAGCTCCTGCGCAGAAGCGGCAGCAGATAGCAGCAAATCAATGGCGTCGTCGTCAGCTCTTCGAGAGCTTCAGCGCGAATTGGAGGCCAAAGCTAACGATCTCAGCAAAATCCAAAAGGGCAAGTCATATATACATATATGTGTGTATACAGCTGCACTTGAATCTGTAAAACCCTAACGTAGCATTTTTGCTCTTTCAGATATTTCAAAGAATCACCAAGTGAGGAAGAAGTACACTATCCAGCTCGGCGAGAACGAGCTCGTCCTCAAGGTCTTCTTCTTTCTCGATTGCGATTTCTCTATTTTCTGTTTGGTTACCGGGAAAACGAACTCAGCTAGCCCCAAATTCCATTGAAATAACAGTTTTCTCATGACTTTTCAAGTGATTTTTATCCCGAATTGATTACCGATATCTGAAATGTGTGAACTTTTCCTTTAATTCCAAGCAAATGGATTTTGTTGGGTTTTCGTTAGCTCGTGGTTATTGTTGAGTGGTTTAGTTTTTGATCTAATGATGATGTGACTGCTTGTGTTTATAGGAATTGGATCTTCTTAGCGAAGACGCCAATGTGTTCAAGTTGATCGGTCCGGTTCTTGTGAAGCAGGATTTGGCAGAGGCTAGGGCCAATGTGCGAAAGAGAATCGAATACATCTCCGCTGAATTGTATGCTTCTCTGTTTCGTTTATTTATGTATTTGTATTAGGGTTTATATTCTATCGTTGCAATTTTTTTCGCGGTTTAGGTTATCATTTTAGATATAAAGTTCGGGAATATCGTGTTAGGTTTGTTAAATTATCCTCAAAACCAATAATTTCAATGATGAGGCTTAGTAACAGAGTGTACTAGTCAAGAAAACTTGTAAGATGAAATGCACAAAAAATGTGATTTAACATGGATTTTGTGAACGATTTTCGAATTGTATGATAAAGGTGAGAGTTACGACCTCAACAAACAAATTTCATCTTAAGGGTTATTTTCTTCCCACCAGATGGGGAAGTACCGGGGTTCAATAGCATAGAGAAAAATGTAGGGCTGCATTCTCAATCACCATATCCGTAAAAAACACTGTTTTTGTACTTTGTAGCAATCGGTTTTCTCACCATAAAACAAGACACTGAGTTTTCACAAAATGATGTCTCTGGGTCTGTGTTCATTGGAACAAGTAATTTCCAAATTCTTGGGGAAGGATGGGCATTATTTAATAAGAGGATGTTCAATGTATTCAGCCCCATTGTCTTCGTATGAGTAACTGTGGGCTGAAGTCGTATCCAAAGAAACATTATTATTTGGGTAAATTGCAAAAAAGGTAGAGGAATGAATAATGTTCTGTGACGCTGTGCATTCTGTTCGTAGGCTTATCATGAGAAACCTGTCTGGGAATTATTAGATGGATCTTGGACTGGTAATCTGTTACATTTTCTGGTTTGCAATTTACCTTGTAATGGTACATGTGTGGCTAGGATATATGTTTTCACAACTTTGCATTTAGGTGTTTATATGGAAAATCGTGTACAGTTTCTCCTATTTCTTCATACCATTGTCTTTATTACCATCATACTCATGTTTAATTTGTTGCAAAACTATATTTATTATGCGCAACAGGAAACGGCTGGATGCTACCCTTCAAGATTTGGAAGAGAAGCAAAATAGCAAGAAAGAGACGGTTTGTATTCTTCCTTTTTCCGTGCACCTGCTCTCTTATAATGCCGGAGTTGTTCATATTGTCCCTGGTCTTGATTCAGTCTTGATAATATATTTATAGCATTTGAAGAATTTATTAGAGCTATACACGTTTAACTGTAGCGTCTTGTAAGTACCAATGTTATGACAAAGACACCAAGTCATCAACACGGAAATGATATCAATATTTAGTAACTAATATATAACTAGACTAGACAATTTTCTTTTCTTGAGATAACATATTTCAGGAAGAATACAATAGAATTGTTGCGTTGGTTTTGTGCCGCGACTTTTACCTTCTCACGATGAACTTGAATAGGGCATACTCTGCAAGGGGTCATAACTACATAATTTTACCATTTTAACCAATCTCGGTATATGACTCAATACTAATTGTTTCCGGTGGATATGCTGTTTTGCAGATTTTAAAATTACAACAGAGGGCTCAAGCACTCCAGGCCGGAAAAGCGAAGGCATAATCTGTTTCCGTGGTTGTGTTCTCTTGGTGAGAAGTAATGTATTGTACGAGTTTCTGTTGACGATTGGATGTAGTTTTTTTCCGTTCTTGTTTGCTCAACGGTACAGTGCCGATTGGAAATGGTTTTTGTCACTCTGGTTGTGGTACGATGTTAGCGTATTTTGTTCTCGTTTGGTTTATCCGTATCACATGTACCTTTGGCATTTAGTTTTCCCTTCGGTATGATTGTAAACCCTTGAAGAATGAAAACACAAGAATTTCTAATGAAGAAGATCAATTCTGTGTGTGCATTTGTGTTCTCTAATATATTTGGTTTAGCGTTTAGGGTTTCTGGTAGATCGTGGATTGGAACTACAAATTGAAATAAGAATTCATTAACTGGAAACTTATTTGGTAATTATTGTTAATTTTCGGTTTTAAAAAATAAAAACAAAAAATTAAAATTAAAAACAAAATTATTATCCAACGGTGTTTAGACTTCGTTTATGAAGTACACGTCAATTATTTCATATATATATATATATATATATAGCCAACAATTTGGGTTTCGAGAGATTATTAGGGTAGAAAATCATTCTTTGAAATAGGGTTTCAGCACAACAATTGAAATTGGATGGATTTTAGTGTCTAGAATCTAGAGATCAAAAAAATTTGATGCAAGCATAAAATGGATGTATGTCTGATGAGTGTGTGCATGCGCAAAACATCACATGCAAGCATTTTTTTTTTTCAAAGAGGCATCCTTTGCCCTTATAATTGCATATGCTGTATAGGACTAGCATTTCCATGGTTGTTTTTTTTTTTTCTGCTACCACAACCCATCCATGGACTTAGGATCCAAGAGATCATTCCATAGACTTGAATTTGGCAAGAGAATGTTATGCAAGCTCCAATTCAGTCATTTTTAAATCGAGCATTTTCATGAACTTTTTAAGAAACTTTGAAGTAACATAAGGTTGGGTGTGTTGCTGCTATGTTAATAAACAAAGGGGTGTACTATCCATACACCCCTTTTTACTTCTCACATACCCTTGTTAATTTATGTCCGTTGATATTCTTCAATTCATCCGATCCAATGGCCGAAAACCAAAAAGGTGTGGGAGAAGTAAAAAGGGGTGTGTGGATATCACACCCCTAAACAAATTGGACCTATTTCAAATAAAAAAGGTACAAGACATGCCACCCGCTAGTTCGTGGTTAAGGTTGAGCAACGTTTATTTGCACCAAGAATCAAGTTTGATGTCTTTGCAGTACTAATCAAAAGTTCTTGCACTGGTGTTTTGGGGAGCATACAGATGACATAGAGAAATAAATACAATATAATATAAAAAGTATGAAATTTAATCCAAAGAAGAAGCAAACAAACAAAATATCCGTAAATCAAGTCATATCTTAGTTGGAGGATTAAAAACTTCAAAATCACCATCCATCAATAGAAAAAGCTTGTTTTCTCTATCAGAGCCATTAGGATTTTAGTCGGAATGAACGTAGGATAAACAAAAAGTGTTAGGGTTTAGTTATAATATGTGGGTCTATTGATAAATTTGATTTTTATTATTAATTTTATTTTGTACTTAATAATAATTATGCAATATGGTAAAATAGACAATTAATATTTAAAATTTAACTTGGGTGTAGAAAAATATTAGATAAGTTTAAATAAAATTTCCGGAACACGTCAATTATTTCATATATATAGCCAACAATTTGGGTTCCGAGAGATTATTAGGGTAGAAAATCTTTCTTTGAAATAGGGTTTCAGCACAACAATTGGAATTGGATGGGTTTTAATGTCTAAAATCTAGAGATCAAAAAATTTGAACCACACAAATTGAAACTGAAGCCTAAAGTCCGGACTGGCTCCAATTTTTACAGCACTAGCTGGGGAGCAGGTGATAGCCTATGATTGATGCATTTTGTGCCGCAGAAGAAGTTTCGAGAAAATGAAATAAGACTACGGCGAGTCACTTCTGTCCCCATAATTTATTCAAGAAGACAAAACCTGCCGTATGTGATTCACGAGGTCTCGTCATAAAATCATTTTGAAAAGGAGTGCATTGAAGGATTAGTTTACCCGCAAGGATATTCTTCGAATTCTCTTTATGAGGATCTTGATTTTTAAATTGTGTTCGTTTATGATATATTGTGTGATCAGTTTTCATTATATACTATTTATATTTTATTTAAAATAAAAATATTTAAAATAATTTTTAACAGTACGATATACGATAAACAGATACAATTTGAAGATACCCAAAATCCTCATTCTTAGTTTACTTAGGAGTGGAGCAAAAGAGGAAAAATGATTGTATTTTAGCTTTTGCCCTGGTGTACTTCCAGTCTAACAAAGAAAAAAAAAAGAGGAAAAAGGAAATGTCATGACTCCTGGGAGACTTATTGAAATAAATTGGCTTATTTTTAGTTATATTTTTTAAAATTCAATTTAATCTCATTTTATTATCTGAAATTAAAAATTCATTATTTTATTTTATAAAATTAAAAGTTCGCTTCATTCTGCCCCTTAAAACTCGATTTTGATCATATTTTGCCCCTTGAAACTTGAAGCTCATCTTTGTAAAACTAAATATTCGCTCTACGTTGCCTTAAATCTATTAAATTCTTATGCGGATTTGACTTGGATGAGCCAGGCCAATCATTTTTTGTTTTCATCCCTTCAATTTTTTTAAAGTTAATATTATCTAACTGTTAAATGTTAACGCATAAGAGATTTATAATCCAATTTATTGCGCATGTGGCATAGTCTTATTGGGTGTTGGGTCTCACATATATTTTAAGAGGCGATCTATAAATAACAGGGCGAAAAGAGAGTCCACAAGTCAAAGTGAAACAAATTTTGAGTTTTAGGGAGTAAAGTAGTGATTTTTAAGTTACAAGAACAAAGTGAGATCAAAATGAAGTTTCGGGGAGCATAGCTAGAAATAAGCCAAATAAGTTTTTGAAAACCTCTTACTTATTTTAACGGTGACAGACTTCTTTACCCAGAAATTCATTATGCATTAGTCTCTTGTTTTAAATTCTTTTATTTATTAACCGATGCAATTTCACAATTTATACCTTTTATTGCATTAACATTTGTGTTGACGCTAGTTGTGCGTGAAGATAAGAAAATGAATTAGGATTAGGATAAATTAACAGTTTGATTCCTTAAACCAAGTAATAAAAAAAACGTCGTCATTAGTAATAGATGTTAAATTTGACAATTGCAAAAGTGTATCATGACTTTTTAGAAGTGTCAGAAATAGAAAAACAGACCAAAATGGAGGCAGTATATATAATTTCCATGCCACAATGATCACATTCAAGATATCAGAATTGGCCATTTTCAATCATGCTCAAGTTTAACGTGAATCTTATGGGTACGTCTAGACCTAGCCCAAGTCCCAACCCCCATGTTCATTCATGCACATAGTCCCAAACCCAAACAAATTAGCATGATGATAGTAATGTTCAACATGGCTTTATATAGAGCGCACACACTCTCTCTCTCTCTCCCCAAGTCTCGAGGAATATGCAGGGAGTATGAGTCGCACTGCACTGTCTCGTTTGGGAAGGTTTGCCAATCTTGTCAAAGATGCTCGACCACCACGACGTACGGCACGCATGCTTCTGATAAGCGACAAGACTGTGTTTTTTTCATGACGCATATACACGATGGAAACCCACTATATCTAGCCGATGAATTACATGTATGTTGGTAAATAAGGTTTAGGGTTTAGGAATGCATTCTTTAGGGTTTTTTTTCCCTTCTTGATATACACTTGAGGGTTTTTTTTTTAGTCAACAGTTGTTTAGGGTTTCCTTCGTGAAACCAGTTATTTGAGGAATGAAACATTCATGTCCATCATAGGATAATAACGTTTTTTCTTATTTTTAAAGGAACCAGCTAGTGACTTCATTACGGCAGTTCACCTTTCCAGGAGAACGTTTTTCATTCCCATGTTTCGAAATGGTACCATAAAATACATTTTATTACCATTATCATGTTTGGTTAATGTAGTAATAGGAATTAAAATTTCTTGAATATTTCAATAATAGGATAAGATTGAGGGACTATCATTTTGACAAATATTTTTACACTCTTTTTTGGTCATTAGTTTTACATCCAAGGGTCTTTGCTAAGAGTAATGTAAAGGCTTTTGAACATTAAGTGACGTGGACTTAATATTATAAATAGAAATAAAACTAAAAGGAATAAATATTGGAAGAAGAAGGAAGAAGAATGAACCGTAAGCGTTCGAACTTCAAAGTGAGAGGGAGGGCAAGAGACCTGAAACCTCCATTGCTTTGCCGCATATAGGTCTTCTCTTAGTTTTTTTTGTTTCGTCTTTTTCTGTAAAAAAAAAAAAAACCTTCCTGATCTCCTTACTCTAGAATCCCAAGTGTTGTTACTATTAATGGGGAGATGAGGAAAATAATTTGTTTTCCACACCCTACTTAATCACTCAAAGATACAACGAATGAAGAATTAGGGTTTCAGGTTTAGTTTTGTTTATCAAATAAAAAGATCCAAAAGATCAAGTGATAGCTTGATATGCTTTGTGTGCTTTTTAATTTTATATCAATACAATCAAATCAACATGTGCCATGTAGCAAAGGCGCAGGACTTTCAACGTTGTTTTGATTTTTTTTCTTCTTTCGATTCTTATTCATTTAACATAATTGTTTTTATTAATTATTATTCATGTCATCATCCACGTCACTTTAGGTTTAAAAATCTCAACTTTAGTCTTAATCAAGACCATTAGATGTTATAAAATCTAATGACTAAAAAAGAGTGTACAAATATGTGTGGAAGTATTTGTCCCTTGTCCTATTCCTTCAATAACATCCTTCTTAAAATAAAATATCAACAAAAGTATAAAACAAAATTGCAGTATTGCAATGAATGTTTTCCCAAGTGAGGGGAAAAGCAAACCGAAATTAAGCTTTTAAACTCACCCCTTCATTTGACTATCATAACCATGAACCAGGATTAGCAGTCCCATAATTGTACGTGCCAAACATTAGAATATAATTTCAAACCCATTCCCGATCGAGTCTCTAGCCAATCCGCGAACCAAAAGGGAAAACCTCCAAGGATTCAATGTAACAAAGAATATGACTGATGATTGTTAGATGCATGGTGCTTGGTAAGACTGAAACAAAGCAAGCAGCTGCTAACCTGCTAGGGTGATATGCGTACGTACTGACATGACAGATTGTCCATCCTTAAGGGCACTAACAAAGGTTCTAGTTTCTTCTCAACTAATTCGATGGGGATTAGTGCGCG